TATAATTACTCAATAATGTAATTATTGCAGTATAATTACTCATTACTATAATTATTGCAGTATAATTATTTATTACTATAATTATTACAGTATAATTGCTCATTACCATAATTATTGCAGTATAATTGCTCATTGATATAATTATTGCAGTATAATTACTCAATAATGTAATTATTGCAGTATAATTACTCGTTACTATAATTATTGCAGTATAATTACTCATTACTATAGTTATTGCAGTATAATTACTCATTAATATAATTATTGCAATATAATTACTCAATAATGTAATTTTTGCAGTATAATTACTCATTGATATAATTATTGCAGTATAATTACTCATTGATATCATTATTGCAATATAATTACTCAATAATGTAATTATTGCAGTATAATTACTCATTACTATAATTATTGCAGTATAATTATTTATTACTATAATTATTACAGTATAATTGCTCATTACCATAATTATTGCAGTATAATTGCTCATTGATATAATTATTGCAGTATAATTACTCAATAATGTAATTATTGCAGTATAATTACTCGTTACTATAATTATTGCAGTATAATTATTTATTACTATAATTATTACAGTATAATTGCTCATTACCATAATTATTGCAGTATAATTGCTCATTGATATAATTATTGCAGTATAATTGCTCATTAATATATCTAATAATAATTATTACAGATATCATTAATATAATTATTATGATATATATAATGAACTAATAATATATCTAACCATACCTCTTTGTTAACTAGAACGTTCTTCAGGACTAATTGATGCACGCAGTCCGGTTTCACCGACAATTCGACAGTGGCCGACAGTTCGAGGGTCGCATCTCCTTCAGCCTCGCTGACCGATGTAACTGACTTTCCTTTTAACTGGTAGATATACGTTTTTCCTTCTTGATACGCTTTATTCGAATGCACTGTAAAAGATTCAGAAACCGTGACAACATTAATAAACACGTCGCGAGGATGTGCCGGAAACTAAGCGTTTAACATCCGAGAACTTACTTCCACGACAGCCGGTGCTGCATTTACCTGCAACAATAGAAATATCGCGTGTAAGTGAACGCTCTTGATTTTAGGGAGCATGGTATTAGTATAATTTGCAAATTGCAATATTATTTCTATACTAAATCCACGAGCATCGTATTATAAATATATTTGATGTAATAATAATAAATATATAAATATAAATAATGGTAATAAAGAAAGAAACGAATAGATATATATAATAAATAATAGTAAATAAATAATATATAACTGATCATATATATAAGATTCGACTTTTCATTCAAATAAATTGGATTTTAAGAAATAAAGGAGAACTTTATAATTTCCCTGTAATTATTTTATCACTGATTCCTATATATTTTAATTTTTCCTTTTAAATAAGAGATTCTCGAGTCTAAATTCATGAAAAAATTGTCGCGTTATATAAATAATCCATAAACGTCCGCAGAGTCCACTGATTACAGCGTCCTCGAATACGTAACAGCGTTGAAAATTGAATTCCTCTATATTCTACGAAGTTCGGGCATTGTTTGTTCCGTTACTGTCCATTTCGACAATCGTTGACGGTCAATGGGGGGCACGCAAAGTTGCATCGAACGAGAGAGACCGCCGCGCCGGTCCTTGAATCGGTTCATTTGTTCCAGTGATTAAAGGGACCGAGCAGTAGTCACGATCGCCGAGAGATTTGTTTCGAGCGGCGCATAAGCTCGCAACCCGCGGCATAATAAATGTATAACAGAATAATAACCGAGAGATAATCGTCTCAATAAACGGGTAACAACGTAATTGCGATATTATAGTTGCAATTGAAAATAGTAGACGCACGGGGAGGATTTATAGAACGGTTCAAAATTCGGTCTGTGGAGACTGTGATCGATTCGATGAAATTAAAAAGTTCTGTCTGCACAAAATGTGTCCGATGCAATCAAATAAAAAATTCAGTCCGCATAAAATGCGTCTGATAGAGTTGAATAAAAATTCAGTCTGCATGAAAAGTGTCTGATAGAGTTGAATAAAATTCAGTCTGCATAAAATGTGTCTCAGAGAGTTGAATAAAAATTCAGTCTATATAAAATGTGTCCGATACAATAAAATAAAAAATTCAGTCCGCATAAAATGCGTCTGATAGAGTTGAATAAAAATTCAGTCTGCATAAAATTTGTCTGATAGAGTTGAATAAAAATTCAATCTATATAAAATGTGTCTGATACAATAAAATAAAAAATTCAGTCTGCATAAAATGTGTCTGATAGAGTTGAATAATAAAAATTCAGTCCGCATAAAATGCGTCCGACAGAGTTGAATAAAAATTCGATCTATACAAAACGTGTCTCTGACGATCAAACAAAGATGAAATCTACACAAATTGTTTATCGACAACTCGCAATGAAATTTGCAACGGGGCTCTGTCGAGAGACCCCATTAATCCTTCTTACCGGGCTAAATTAAACAAGCAAGAGAAAAGATATGCCGGGGTCCGAATAGACCCTCCAGCTAAGTTATTAATCATCTTGCGTTCCCGTGAGTGCTTTTTTTTCTCTCTTGTCCTGCCCGTCGATGAAACTTTCGCGTTGCCGAAGGATTTCGAAACGTGACTGGGAAACCTAATATATATATATCCCGGGCTCCGATGAATTGGCAAAGCGTAAAAACATTCTTTCGCCGGAAGGGTAGACACCCTCGAGGCCTGCCCAGGCGCGTCGAAGGATTTGATACTCTATTTTTATACTGATTATGAGAGCAAAGTTCTCCCAGACCTGGATGAAAATATTTCTGCCGAGAGATGTACGAATGTGTCTGCGAATATTATTTTCTCTTGAATTTGCTTCACGTGCGCTTCGTTTGAAATGGTTATTTGTTTCTGTATCAAATGGAATACACCGGTTGCACTGCTCAATTGATTTCGTAAATATGTCAGAAGCAGATCGCGGATTTTTATGCGAAATAAAAATGTTCGAAGACGACTGAAAGGAACGTAAATTGTTTCTTTCGTTGATTCTGGTGAGTTGAAAATAATGTAGCAATGCTATTTATTTATGCGCTATTTATTTATGTGCTATTTATTCATAATGATTAATATGCTATTTATTCATGTGCTATTTATTTATATGCTATTGATTAATATGCGATTTATTCATATGCTATTTATTAATATGCTATTTATTCATATGCTATTTATTCATATGCTATTTATTCATATGCTATTTATTAATATACTATTTATTCATATGCTATTTATTAATATGCTCTTTATTAATACGCTATTTATTAATATGCTATTTATTTACATGCTATTTATTTACATGCTATTTATTTATTTTATGCTATTTATTTTTATGCTATTTATAGGTTACAACATTTATAGCCAAGTGGAACATTTAACGACCGCAGTTGCTGTGTTTGGACAGTTTCGAGGATAACGACGGCGTAAGCGTGACTAATAATTTCCTGAACACGGGTCGAACGTATCTTCTTTTTTCCTGTCTCGCAAAAACTTAGTTGTATTAATCAAAGAATCGCGGAAACGTTGAGTCACCATTATCTATCAACATTTACGCCAGACGTATTTATTAACACTCGAGACACGATGAAAAACAATGTCCGTCGATCGGCTCGTACGAATTAACGTTTTTGCAAACCGATCGACAAAAAAAACAGACGCGTGAATCACGAAGCAAAGTCTGTGGAAATAAAAGTTTTTAATGATCGCGATTAATCGTAATTCGAACGAAGTACTCGACTAAAACGAATTCGTTCGGACAATTATCTTAGATATACATATATCGAAACGATATCACGTATTTTACGATTGCAAAAAATTATTATTATTATTATTATTATTATTATTATTATTATTATTATTATTATTATTATTATTATTATTATTATTATGGAATTCGATGGAAATCGATGGAATTCGTGCCGCTTCAACGACGGCTTGTTTTTGAACGGGAGATACGATAAGTGCGCGCCAGTGATTTATGCACGGCAGGAAAAAAATGCTTATTGACTCCGTTTTATAATCGATAATCGTTTTTTACGGCGGTCCGGCTGATTAGCCGCGAGAGAGAAGGCGTATCTCTGCGGGGTGACGGTGAACTTCGTAGTACGGTCGCACTGATAATGCAATCGTCCGCGACACAGTTGACCCCCGATCTTGAAACGACTTATTTTTAGTTGAATCGGTGCCGATTGATTGCCGGAATGCGAGATTCACCGCTCGAGAAACTGCACGACGGAATTAAATCCCTTTTACGTTTCCCGTACGTAATTCGTCGAGGAAACGTTGCACCCTTCGAGGGTGCATCGAAAATGTATTTCTTGAATATAATGTTTCTTTTTTTGGTAGATAATTAGTAATCATTTTAAAACAAATTTTCAGTCTACGTTAATTTCAATTGTCTCGTTAGATTCTTAAACATTTTGTTATTAACTTCAACTGTCTTGGTTAGATTCTTGAAACTCTTGTTATTAATTTTAAATTCTGGTCCACTTCGGCCATACGGGATAGTTAAATCGGTTCGAATCGGTCCGCGGAATAATTATGCGAGGGGAAACCGTGCAACTGTATGCATTCACTTCGTTCCTACAATCTGCCGTAATACGAGCGATTTTCCGCGAGCATTTTCGACAATTTTCGTCCGGAATGCCGACGGCGTTCCGTGTGGCAAATAACGCAACGTGCACTCTTCTCGGCGAAAGGTCATGATAAATTACAATAAAAAGTTCCTGGCAGCAGCCCGCGTTTCCTGTCACGTACCGCCGCCGCCATTTTTCCCTTTTAGCGGACCCAGAGATTGGATTTGACCGCGCGTCGTCGTTGCTCGCTGATTTTAGAAAATTGGGATTGATAACGTCGCCCCTCCGACGATTCTCCCTCTGTCCGCACGGTTAACTTTATCCGATTAATATGATCAGTAGCTCCTCAAGATCCTGTTCCGTCGAGAAATTCAAATTTTTCATCCTTCCGAGCGAACTTCGTTTCATATCTTCGAATATTTTGAATCAATTCTACGAATAAAACTTTATTTGTTATTCGAATAATATATTCAATGAATTCTACGAATAACATGCTATTCGTTACTCGTTATTCGAATAATATATCGAATGAATTCTAGGATAAATATTTGATTCGTTGTTCGAATAATTCGTCGAATGAATTCTTCGAATAATTCGTCGAATAATTCGTCGAATAATTCGTCGAATAAATTTGAATGATTCGTCGAATAAATTCTACGAATAAAACGACGAGCCGGGCTTCGTTTTCGATTGAAGCGAAGCGGTTCAAAGGACTCCGAAGCGGGCCGCGAAATGAATCGTTCGATCGTAGTTGCAAGTTTCTCGACACAATTCCCATTATCCGATTATCATCGGAGGTTTGTTCTTCCGCGTTGACGGGCCCCCGTTTCGTCGATCGAGGCGTGTTGGCTAACGGCATGAAAACTGCTTTCCGCCGTTCTCGTTTTCCCCGGCTCTCTGGAATGCCGGCTATTCTACAGATTCCTGTTGCAATTTCCTCTTGCGAAATTCCGACATGTCTTTCACTCGAAGGAAATGTCGATCGCGCGAACTCGGCATCGGGAAACATTTTATTGTGCCTTCGATTTCCACGCGTTCCGAACGCGAAAGGTTACTCACCGCCGCGCACAGCCAGCCATTTTCAGCGAGTAAATCGAGTCGACGGGAAACGCGTTCGCGAAATTGTTAACGCGTCATTTCACGCTTACGATTTATTCGGATTTTACGAAGTGACCCTCCGCGCCCGATTGGCCCATCGGGGAGATAGGGCATATTTTATTCGAACGACGAATAAACGGTACAATTTTATTCGTAGAACTCAGTCGAAGGATCGATCGAATCACATTTTGTTCGAGGGATTTATTCGAAGAATTTACGCGAAACATTATGCGGATTAAATTCTATTCGGAACATCGGTCGATCTTCGAACCTTCAATCGCGACAATGAATTAATAGTCTCCGATTACAAAATGAATTAATAATTGTCAATGGCAATACGAATAATA